CTTTGCTGAAACCCACGAGCGTGGGCATGGTGTTGACAAACCTGGAAATATAATGAAGGTGCATCTGCAATTCGGACCCACAATCGCAGGTTGCTTGCATGCATCAGGGATGCAACTCTGCCAGCGAATAGCAGCACCTTAGATGACTCTCGGGCCACCTGTGCCCCTCGGTCGTCCAAGGGGCGGTCGGGTAGCCTAGTGGTTAAAGCGTTCGCTCGTCACGCCAAAGACCCGGGTTTGATTCCCGACATGGGTACAATGTGTGAAGCCCATTTCTGGTGTCCCCCGCCGTGATATTGCTGGAATAATGCTAAAAGCGGCGTAAAATCAAACTCACTCACTCACTCGGTCGTCCAACAGGTTGAAGCCACATATAATCAACAATCTAATAAATAATCTGGTGATTCTGTAAATAATCTGTGGCTCCTTTTCAATTTAAATGACATTATTTGTTTTGATTAAAATTATATTTTCAGAGACTAAGCATTAGTCTATTCTGGGAGTAGCAACACATTTTTTACAATTTTTCTGGATCCCTGATTTTCAGATAAAAATCTCCCAAACAAGCCAACAATTGAAATCAGGAAGTATGCCTGAAGCATTGGCTTTGGTTGGTTGGTTTGTTGTTTTACCCCCCACTCAGCAGTATTCCAGCTATATGACAGCGGTCTGTAAATAATAGAGTCTGGACCAGACAATCCAGTGATTGATATCATGAGCATCGATCCACGCTATTGGGATCGATGACATGCATCATTCAAGTCAGTGAGCCTGACCACCCGATCCCGTTAGTCGCCTTTTACGACAAGCATAGTCGCCTTTAACGTCAAGCATGGGTTGCTGAAGACCAATTCTACCCCGGAATCTTCACGGGTCTCAGAGACTAAGCTTTAGTATATTCTGGGAGTAGCAACATATTTTTTACAATTTTTCTGGATCCCTGATTTTCAGATAAAAGTCTCCCAAACAAGCCAACAATTGAAATCAGGAAGTACGCCTGAAGCATTGGAAATCATGACGAATCATCAGATCAAAACAGAAATGGAATTGGGAATTTGCACAAAAATTCCAAACCCTGCGTGACTAAATATCTGTTGGCAAAATGTAGCCAATTCTATATAAGCTGTTGGAGAATTTCCCCATCACACTGTGTAAGTTGCAGGGGCAGAGTACAGTACAGAACTAGCTGCTGTGAAACTATAAATAAAGTGCCATGAAAAATGTTCCCGCTAGCTCACATGCATGTGCATGAGGTACAGGTAGCAAGATACTTTTACATGTACTTGTAAAACTGATTATATTTATCTGACAGTGAAATGGACTTCTGTCCAAACTCTGAAGATTTTATAGTGTGTGATAACAGCCAAAATACAGCATTAATGGCTGATTAAAGGCTTTGGCATTTGCAAGAATTAGAAACTTCTCATAATACTAGCTGCTGTGAAACTGGAGTAAAGTTAAATATTTTTGTGTTTGAGTATGTGAAAATCTCAGTAGTGAGTGAGTGAGTGAGTTGGGTTTAACGCTGCTTTTAACAGTGTTCCAGTTATATCCTGGCGTGTTAGCTTAACATGCTTAATGTGGGAGGAAAGCCCGAAGTGATGCAGGTCTCAGACGTTTACCACTTCGGTGAAACCCACGAGCACGGGTATGGTGCTGACAAACCTAGAAATATAATCAGGGTGAACCGGAATTCGAACCCACAATCATAGGTTTCGGGCCTGCCCAAGGGACACAACTTTGCACAGCGAATCGCGGCGCCTTAGATGACTGGGCCACCCGTGCCCCCTCACATCTCAGTAAAGAAGTAGGCTACACCACGACTCAGTTAATCCAAACAATTACAAATAATTTGAAATGAATAAGCTAATATTCCTGACAACCTTTATATGACATCATTGCTGAGATCATCTCGTTCATACAAAAATTACGCATAATGAGTCGAATGAGTTTTGTTCTGGACCATCAAATGTTACGATAAAACATTATATTGGTCAAAAACAATATTGTACATGCATATATCACGCATGTGTTCATGCTTTAATGCACGTATTGCTCACCAAATGGCCAAGCAAAACAAGCAAAGGGTGAGAACCTAGTTGACAACAAAGTCAGGAGCGTCAAAAGTCATTTTTACAACAGATGAAACTGGGAAATGTACCATGACATCCAGTTTAGGTGAGCTAATTATTTTACCATGTCATCATGAACAGTTGAAAATGATGGTAAATTAAACTATTAAACTATTATGGTAAATGAATGAAGTATAGACATGTGAGCAAGGTTTAACATTGATCAGTTTGTTAATAATATAGAAGAAAGCCCTATCAAAAGTTGATTATATAATGAAAACGTACTTTTGTCATAAATTTGTCTCCAGCAAAACGACTGTGTGAGTGAGGTTTTTTAACCCTGCTTCAAACAGTATTTCAGTCAATGATGCCAATCTTCTTGATGGAAGATACCCGTGAAGATCTGGGGTAGAATAGGTCTTCAGCAACCCATGCTTGCCGTAAAAGGCGACAATGCTTGTCGTAAGACCGACTAACAGGATCGGGTGGTCAGGCTCGCTGAGTTGGTTGATGCATGTCATCGTATCCCAATTGCGTGGATCGATGCTCATGATGTCAATCACTGGATTGTCTGGTCCAGACTTGATTATTTACAGACCGTCATCATATAGCTGGAATATTGCTGAGTGGGGCGTTAAACAACAAACAAAGAAACAAATCTTGATGAGGTGAGGTGAAATGGAGTTTAACGTCGCGTCCAAGATTATTGCACTTATATAGCGACGTGCATGCACATGTATGTGTGTGTGTGGCTGCTTGTACTAGTCGGGACTGATGCCGATTTATAGTGCTAGCTCACTGAGATACCATGCCGCAGTTTAACATGAATACCCCACTCAGGCACAGAATACTAACTCCGAGCCGACCAGTCCTTGTTTTAGCCCCTTAATGTCGAGCGCCAGACAGGGTAACAACAAGCACCATCTTTAACGTCTTTTGGTATGACGCGGACGGGGATCGAACCCTGGACCTTCCGGTCTCCGGGGGGATGCTCTACCACTAGACCACGGAGGCGGTCCTCAAATCTTGATGAAGATAACTAATGATAGCCATGGCAATAGAAAGGACATAGGAAGCTGTGTTTATGCCAGTTGGTTACACAACATACAACCATGCAGTGTGTAGTGTACAACAGGTACAGCCTGTCACTTGACAGAAGCAGGAGAACATTCATATCCCATAACTGTCATCTGGTGTGAAACGGCCGTAACACTGAAACAGTCAACACTGTGTTAACATGTTACACTATCATTGAGGCTACAAACATCCTGGTGTTGTCAGCTTTATAGTCCTCTTTGACAAAGCCATGGGTACTTAGAGTTGACAAGTAGTGGGACAGCGGTCATGGCCCAACACAGGAACTGTAGTTAGCCTATCAAAGTATCTGTGCATTGCAGTAGTTGGTGCCTTGATCCACGTATCATACTTTAAGGTCACGCATCACTACAGATATATCTATATATTAAACATTGTTATCACATGGTTGTATCATGAAAATAAAGTATAACTACTCTTCATTGATGAAACATACGAACGTTTCACATAGTTTGTTTGGTTTGAAAACAATGCACAGCATGACACTTTCTTCCAAGGCCCTTGGTTGATCTTTTCAACTGACTTCTATCTCGGTCTATGAATCCCCTCGGTCTATCATTTTCAATGAATCTTCTCGGTCTATCGTTTTCACTGAATCCCCTCGGTCTATCGCTTTCAATAAATCCCCTCGGTCTATCATTTTCAATAAATCCCCAGGTCTATCATTTTCAATAAATCCCCAGGTCTATCGTTTTCAATGAATCCCCCTCGGTCTATTGTTTTTAATGACTCCCCTCGGTCTATCATTTCAATGAATCCCCTCGGTCTATCATTTTCAGTGAATCCCCTCGGTCTATCGTTTCCAATGAATCCTCTTGGTCTATTGATTCCAATGAATCCACTCGGTCTATCGTTTTCAATGAATCCCTTCGGGATTGCTATACCTTTTCAACCAACTTCTCCCTCGGTCCATCTATTCAACCGATTCTCCCCTCATTCTACCTCCCCATCGCTTTTCTACAGTCACTAAGATCTTTCTAATCAACCATTATAGATGTCTACTCTTGCAATCTTTCATGCCACAAAGAACTTCCACTGACCTCTGGCTTCAGACAAGTGGGAAAAACTACAGACTGACAGATCCCAATACATGTTCAACACTCATACACAACATCTTGCAGACACAGTCATTTCAAACATGGGACAATTGTGTGTATCAATTACCTTCCTCTGCAGGTTATTTGTGTTTTCAATTACATACAGCATAAAGTGCACTCGTCTGATTAAAGGTGTACATAAACGGGAAAAAATCATTTGATCATCCCTTCTTAACGTCAGACATTCTCCGCCAACTGGCTGTCTGCCTAATCATCAGATGGAAAGTTTCATTGCTGACATAATGTTATACTTTTTCTCTCCTGCTGTGCCCTGTTGAAAAATAATAAATAATTCCCTGAAAAAGAGACATTCCTAAATATCTTGCTCATGCTTTTCAACATTGTTCACCCCTTGTCAGCATGTTGAGGGAGAAATTGTAAAAAACAACAAAATCTCACTGAGGGCTGTCTCAAAACATCTCATTCCATTTCTTTCTTTTTTCGATGATTAGGAGCCACTAATGTGTTCTGAGTATGTTGAGTCTGGTCAGGTTTCTCTCTGTTCAGTCCATGCCAAATTTATAAGTCCACTTATCAGCACAAGAATCTACTGAAAATATTCTTAAAAGTTTCAGATATTAGACTCAAACATTGTTGCAGACTGCTATTCTTATAGGTCTCTTCTCACATTAAAGTTATCAAATGTACCGAAACTGATAATTTACAAAACATAAAATAACTTCCTTGACAGATTTTGAGACAACCTTTTGATTACAAGCTACAGGTAAGTTCCTACCTGAATGGTGGTGGTCCCTGCCAATAGTCGCCCCAGACCCGATGACTGACATGGTGCCAGTGCTGGGGCTCTTGTGATGCATTCCGATATCTTGAATGGCTGCGTCAAGATCACGGGAGTCTCCAAAACTACCTGATCTGGCCATCACAGCGCAGTGGGACACTGTCTTCCTTTAATTTTTTATCCACAAAATATTACCTGCAATAATATTATTATTTCCAATCAACAGTGTTTCCGATGTTTTTTGTATGAGTTGGTCTTCACTGAACCTTACTGGCACCTATAAAAACGTTTGTTTGCTTGTTGTTTAACGCCGCACTCAGCAATATTCCAGCTATATGACAGCGGTCTGTAAATAATCAAGTCTGGACCAGACAATCCGGTGATTGACATCATGAGCATCGAATCCACACAATTGCGATACGATGACAAGCATCAACCATGTCAGCGAGTCTGACCACCCGATCCCATTAGTCACCTCTTACAAAAAGCATGGTCGCCTTTCACGGGTCTATAAACGAGTAAACGAGTAAACGAGTATGTGTTTCACACCATCACAATAATATCATGGCAAGGCTGTTTTATATCAGAGGAATTGCAAAATACATATCGCAGCGACAGTCATTTTGGTCTTAGGTGCAGGAATTTGTTATATTGAGTTGCATCCCTTATTTATGCCAGGATCTGCTGAATTCAGATTCAATTCCAGTTTTGGTTATGCTGCTTTCAAAAGTATTTCGGTTATATTGCAGGGTGTCAGCTGATGGGAAGAAAGCATAAAGTGATGCAGGTGTCAGATGTTTATAGGTGTCAGATGTTTACAGGTGTCAGATGTTTTCCGGGTGTCAGATGTTTACCACTTTTGTGAAACCAATGAGCACGGGTAGGAGATGGTATGGTGCTGACAAAACATATCAGGGCAACTGTTTTTTTGTTTTGTTTGTTGTTTAACGCCACACTCAGCAATATTCCAGCTATTTGACACCCATCTGTAAATAATCGAGTCTGGACCAGACAATCAAGTGATTGACATCATGAGCATCCATCCACGCCATTGGGATAGGATGACATGCATCAACCAAGTCTATCCTCTGCACCATGGACCTGGTCAGACTTACAAAAGGATCAGGTGGTGACAGAGTGAGGCAGTGACGGCAGAACGTGTGACCTTCGTGACTGCGTATCATCCTAACCTGGCAGCATGAAATGTCACGTCTGCTAATCTGCTATCAGTAATGCCAGCTGCAGACTTGTTGCTTACAATTGGTGATTTAGCTGCAATATAGAGAATCTCACCCGAGTGTCTTTTGATATTAAATATATCAACACTCGTTGATAAAAGTGGCAAAAATCCTCGGCAAGCCTCGGAATTTTTCCACTTTTATGAACTCTTGTTGATATATTTAATATCAAAAGACACTCGGGTGAGATTTTATTTATCATCCAGCATCATTCTTCCAACTTTTTCAATTTGTAGACAGTAATTAGCAGTGTCTTCAGTGTAAAAAGTACTGCTAACAGCTTCAGTAGCAGAGCCATTAGTGATGTCATTTGATTGTCACGTCATGGTAACCAGTGATGTCACAATGGTCTGCAAAGCATTGTGATGTAATTTCATTGCAGCGATATCTACACTGTAGATATCGCTTGATCTCATCCAAGGATATCACCTGTGGAGCCAGTTTTGGATGATAAATTGTTATAACTGCAGTGTTGAAGGTCACTCACTAAAGTACTGATATAATAAACCATTTAATCACAAGAAAGTTAAACTACTATTGACTACAAATTCCTACTGCTGTCAATATCAAAATCTACAAAGTCAGACCGTATCATATTTCATATACATTGAAATCATTAAATGCTACCAGTCCTTTCATGCTAGCCAAATGCCCACACATCATTCAACAATGAACCCACCAAGACAAAATCAAAATCACTGAAACAACAAGAAAACCCTTCGATCACAACAAGGCATTCGATGAGTTGTCAAATTGGGAAATATCTTACCGCCACAACACAGAGGCAGCTCAATACGTTCGGGAACAGCAGAGCTAGCTTCAATAGCGCAATCAAACTGATCATGACACAACACAACCTCATGCAAACATCTGTCACATTGTGTATTGATCTGAAATCTACAAGCCTCTTCCATGAAACACAATCAATAGCAAGTCCCATATACTACATACAGCATTCTAATTTTGCAAATGACCTCATCAAATGCACATTTCTTGAGTTTGGCTGAGAGTAAGAAGGAGGGAGAACAGCGAAGCTATCGTTGATCCATGTGCGTGTGTAAACATGCAATATCTGCCATTGTTACCTTGGTTATGAGATTATACAAGTGCAATGTACATGACATATACATATGTATATTGCACACCATCAGTTTCTGGGTCAAGTCTCACTGGTCAAATATACAGAGGAATTTGTGATCCAATCATTATAACTCATGATGAACATGATAAATGGTTTTCACCTAATCAAGATAAATGAGATTTTTTTTCATTTTCAGTCAATTAATGATATATTAATACTACTCAAAAAAGTTAAGGACCACTTAATTCTCTCACATTACTATAGTTAAACTGTCATACTACTGAAAAGAAGTAAAGGACCACCTGATTCTCTCACATTACTATAGTTAAACTGTCATACTACTGAAAAGAAGTAAAGGACCACCTGATTCTCTCACATTACTATAGTTAAACTGTCATACTACTGAAAAGAAGTAAAGGACCACCTGATTCTCTCACATTACTATAGTTAAACTGTCATAGTTAAACTGTCATACTTCTGAAAAGAAGTAAAGGACCACCTGATTCTCTCACATTACTATTGTTAAACTGTCATACTACTGAAAAGAAGTAAAGGGCCACCTGATTCTCTCACATTACTATAGTTAAACTGTCATAGTTAAACTGTCATACTTCTGAAAAGAAGTAAAGGGCCACCTGATTCTCTCACATTACTATAGTTAAACTGTCATACTACTGAAAAGAAGTAAAGGGCCACCTGATTCTCTCACATTACTATAGTTAAACTGTCATAGTTAAACTGTCATACTACTGAAAAGAAGTAAAGGACCACCTGATTCTCTCACATTACTATAGTTAAACTGTCATACTACTGAAAAGAAGTAAAGGACCACCTGATTCTCTCACATTACTATAGTTAAACTGTCATAGTTAAACTGTCATACTACTGAAAAGAAGTAAAGGACCACCTGATTCTCTCACATTACTATAGTTAAACTGTCATACTACTGAAAAGAAGTAAAGGACCACCTGATTCTCTCACATTACTATAGTTAAACTGTCATACTACTGAAAAGAAGTAAAGGGCCACCTGATTCTCTCACATTACTATAGTTAAACTGTCATAGTTAAACTGTCATACTACTGAAAAGAAGTAAAGGGCCACCTGATTCTCTCACATTACTATTGTTAAACTGTCATACTACTGAAAAGAAGTAAAGGGCCACCTGATTCTCTCACATTACTATAGTTAAACTGTCATAGTTAAACTGTCATACTACTGAAAAGAAGTAAAGGACCACCTGATTCTCTCACATTACTATAGTTAAACTGTCATACTACTGAAAAGAAGTAAAGGGCCACCTGATTCTCTCACATTACTATAGTTAAACTGTCATAGTTAAACTGTCATACTACTGAAAAGAAGTAAAGGGCCACCTGATTCTCTCACATTACTATAGTTAAACTGTCATACTACTGAAAAGAAGTAAAGGGCCACCTGATTCTCTCACATTGCTATAGTTAAACTGTCATACTACTGAAAAGAAGTAAAGGGCCACCTGATTCTCTCACATTACTATAGTTAAACTGTCATACTACTGAAAAGAAGTTTAGAACCACCCGATTCTCACACATTACTATAGTCAATCTGTCATAATACTCAAAGGGGCGGTCGGGTAGCCTAGTGGTTAAAGCATTCGCTCGTCACGCCAAAGACCCGGGTTCGATTCCCGACATGGGTACAAAGTGTGAAGCCCATTTCTGGTGTCCCCCGCCGTGATATTGCTGGAATATTGCTAAAAGCGGCGTAAAACCATACTCACTCAATCACTCACTCATAATACTCAAAAGAAGTTAAGGACCACCCGATTCTCACACATTACTATAGTTAGACTGTCATGCTGTGACAGATAAACTATTGTACTAAGAAAGAAATGCGTGGTCCTTAACATTTTTGAGTAGTATATATTTAAAACCATGAAACGATCAATAACATGCCAGTGCACTAGACAAATGAACAAACAGACCCCTCTCCTGCCTGTTGATCAGCTGGACTGAGGAGTGGTAGTGTAATTCCATGCACAATTAATTATTTACATCAGGAGACTATTGTTTAATTTTTCAGGCACGTAATTACTTAACTGTTCATAATCACGCTAATGAACCTTTGTCGATACCCACTAGAAAAACATGCATATGCAGTTTCAATAGCAAATTACATAAATAATTGTATACCAGAGTGCCGAGATAGTGGCAAATGCCTCCGTAGGGGTCCATATTTATGAATAATACACCACGATGACAGAACGGGAAGCAAATTAATGGTTTTTGTTCACTTAAAAGTTTTTCATCGTCACAAATAGAGAACTTAGGATGAGATGTGTATTTCCCCTGACAGTTACAATGATAGCGCTCCTATTGCCTCCTACACTGGTGATGTGGAAAGGCTTGTGGGACTTCTGTCTGACAGCCAGGGACAGGCATAAAGTTGAGGCTATCTATAGTCTGTCATACCTACCTCAACACAAATACATCCAATACAGCCCATGCAAGTCTATAATATTTAGCAAGTCTAGATTACCGCAGTATCTGAAAATGAAGAGGGGCTTGTTTTAATTATTTTTCATAACTATAACTATGTTAAGCCTCACTCAGCAATATTCCAGGTATATGACCAGACAATCCAGTGATTGACATCATGAACATCGACCCATGCAATTGGGATATGATGACATGCATCAACCAAGTCAGTGAGTCTGACCACCCGATCCCATTAGTTGCTTCTTACGACAAGCATCGTCGCTTTTTACAGCAAGCATGGGTTGCTGAAGACCTATTCTAACCCGGATCTTCACCGGTCGTTTTTATCTGTAAATATGTTCATTTCAGAGACTAGATGTTACTCTTGGGTATCTGATGCCCAATGAGTGTAGTGGA